CAAACGGGCCATAGTTTGCCCACGGCTGGGCTAAACATAGCCCCTCAGAGCACTGACAGAGTAGGGATTTCTTTAGTGCCTTAGTTTAGTTACATGGAGTTTGTATAACTTCCTTGTTACTGTACAGGTTTCAATCAGCTTAACTGGACATGATTTAGGTAATCACTTGAATAGCAATTCAAGAATTGGGTATTAGAGAATCAAAACACTGGGTTTAAGTTAAACTTTGGCTGTTTTCCCTTCTTAGGAGGAGCTATTTAATCAAATCCTCCAGACTATGCCTGGAATAGCTACCTTCTCATCCAGGCCACAACCTGTTAAAGGAGGAAAAGCTGTAATATGTGTTCTTCGTCATTTGAGCGAAAAGGAAGAAATTGCATATAGACAAGCTCAAGAGACCCAGGAAGGAAACCCTTTAAACAAAGAAAATGGAAATGACAAAAAATCAGATATTCTGCATCAGTGATTAAAGAAAAATGTGCTTCTGAGAGAAAATACAGGAATACCTCGTTTTATTGTGCTTCACTTTACGGTGTTTTACAGATGTTGCATTTTCCCCCCCAAAATCAAAGGCAAGACCCTCCACAAGCAAAGGCATTTCAACTCGCTTTATTGCACTACATGTTTTATTGCAGTGGTCTGGAACCACCAGTAAGGTCTGCCTGTAACTGAGCTGGCTGGTCTGTGGAGAACAACTGGATGTTTAGCTGAGGGTAAGTACCGCAACTGTCGAGAGCACTTTGTCCTCAGTGCAATTCAGCAATTCTCCAGTTTTAGGCAAAGATAAGCCGTGTTCTTGTTTCCCTTTAGGAGGAATGTATCCACTGAGACGGGAGGACAAACTCCGTTTTCCACGAGCTTGTTTTACCTTTGGAAACAAGGAAAACAATTAGAATTCAAAATAAAAATTACCTGAATTTTACAATAGTTGTACACCCTGATAGGTACACAACACTCCTTTATAAGAAAATAAATCCATCCAATTGCTTTCAATAAAATAAATCCATCCAATTGCAGACTCACAGAGTAATGAGAGTCAAAAATATTCTAAATAGATTGCATCTGGCTTCAATCAGCAGTTCATGTTTTAAAAAGAGCTTGCCTAAGTCGTCTCAACTTACTTTGAGCTTCATTTTCTTTTTGTCAGGGTCATGCACAACTGCATGCCTAGTGAGACTCTGCTGCAATGAAAGAAAGAAAATGTTTTATTTTTAAAACATTGCCATTTGGTACCTATTAACATAAAAACTCCTAATTATTTAAATAAACAGCTTCTTTCTGTTATGTTCTGTTGAGGGGTGTGGCCTCTACCTACAAGGAGGCCACAAGAGGATTCTTTCTCAAGTCCTAGACTGAGATCACCGCCTCTTCTAACAACCCAGGTTAGGAATTTATAATCTCGATCTCCTGTGGCTTCTTAGCTCTTCATAAGTAAGAGGTTGGGGGAAACCAGTTCCAAACTAAAGGAAGTTGGTTTAACTGAAGCCATGTCCACAGCATCCCCAGACCAATGGAATATCTGGCCAAAGTCTTGCTGTTCTTGATGATAATGCCGACCACCAGCAGCTCCAAGTTGTGCTGTAATGGTTCAGACCTATGCTGAACCAGCCTCATTTCTCACTTCAGTCTTCACTGTAACTCATGGTTCAAGTGCACCAACCAGAGTGAGAGTCTGCAAAATGGCACAGGCCCCTCCGTTTAGTGTCATGTTCCCAACCTACTAGAATCATACCAAGAGGTACACTAGATAGATTCCCAAGTTCTATAGTCCCTCATTTCCCTTCTCAATCCCTGCATGACTGTAGTCTAAAAGGGTGGCTCCTAGGTGTTAACAGCCTAAAAGGATACCTAAAATACCAGCGTACTCTTTTAAATAAGCATTTGGTACCATCAGCCACTGGTTCTCAAATACAGCCCACATGAGAATCCTCTAGATCAGCGGTCACCAACCTTTCAGACCTCA